TTAATTTAAAATAAAAATGTCTGAAAGTTAAAGTACATTCCCTAATAAATGCTAAATCTTATTTTCCACTTAAGGGTTTTAGTTTTAATCATTTTTAACCCTATAAACTTTCTTTAAATCAAAGTATTTAACTTGAATTTATATTAATAACTAGAATATTTATTTATTTGAAATTTAATTCTATGAAGAAAAAATTTAACGTTAAAATTTATGTTTAAATGGACTTTTGTATTTTGTAATGTGATAAAAAAAATTTCAATTTTTCCATAGTTTTTAAATTATTTCAATTTATCTAAATTTTTTCTGATAAATTTATTCTGATTTTCGAATTCTGTTTTCTTTCTTAAGTAATCAGTTTTGCATTTTCTAATTTTAAACGTTTTAAAGTATTGTATTTTCTGCAAAGAGATTACAAGGTAAAGCGACAAAAAGAATTTAGTGTTATATAAACAATGATGTTTATATAACAATCACCACCAACAATTGCTTTCAATATGTAACTTATCATCTAATGATCTAAACACTTTGGCATGCGGCCCTTCATTGGTCAATCTGCTGTGCATGTGGCCCTTCACTGAAAAAGGTTGTGCACCCCTATGCTAAATATTGTGATTTTAATCAAACATCAGTTTTCGTATTTACCTGATTTAAAAGTTACACGTAGAGATTCCTATTCGTAGGTTTAAAATTCCAATATCACAATATTGGATTATATATAACATTTACTCTTTTTTAAAATCTAATGTTGCGATTCGTATCCACATGTTTTTAAAATTTAATATTGTGATTTGTAATTACGCTATTGTAATATAAAAAATTTAATTTCTTATTTATATGTGATTCATGGACTACGCATTGCGATTTCTATTCACGTGATCTAAAAATTATGCTTCGTATTTACTCAATTTAAAGATTCAATATCGTAATTTATATTTTCGTATTTTTAATGTCCAATATTGCGATTCATATTCACGCGATATTAAAATCCAATGTAGTGATTGTTCGCAATATTGCAAAATTTTGTTAAATATGAAACCTGTTTGGTATATAAACTGATAAAAATTTTTTGCACATTAAAATTTCAGGGTTTTTCACTTTGTTTCTCAATCATCCCTGTTTAATCCAACTATTTCATTGAATTAAAATGATAATGTTATAATTGTGTTTTGTTATTGAATAATTGATCATTCTCGTAATTAGTAAATTTTAAAGATCAGTTTAGAAAAGAGGTTTTCCATTTATGTTTTTATTTATTTCAAGGGGCTTTTAGCCTTTTATCTGTAGAGATAAAAAGTTTTAACATGCATGTCTGATGATCTAGATAAAATGTAAAACTTTCTGCAAACAATAATTATTTGTCAACCTATTCGTTATTGCACAGTCTGTACAAAATTTATATGCTTTCTGCAGTGAATACTTAGTGTGCAGACATATTTCTGTAAAAATAATATGTATATAAAGAAATATATGGTATATAAAAGTTGTTTTTAACTAGAAAATGCAAACTAAGTTGTGAAGTGTAGCTATTATTATTCAATTATAAATTTAAATGGTATATAATCTTTAAAATTGTATTTTAGAATAAAATAAATACACAAAACATAATTGAAAGTTGTGTAAAATTATTTTGATTTAAATTAAAAATCTAACTAACTTTTTTTGTTAAATGTTTAGATTTTTAGGACTGATTCTACTGTTTGTATTTATACTCTTCATGGTCATACTGGTCCAATATCTATATTAAATATTGATCAAGTAAGTGTCTTGGATTATTTTCAGTTATTTATTTAGCACTAAACGTACCAATACTTTACAATACAATACATTGTACAATAATCAGTCTTTTGACTGGTTCTGTTATGTTTAGTGTTAAATAGCATTTCTTATAAAATGCTGATATATATTCCAAAAACTGTATATTTATTGTGCATATAATTATATATGATGCCTCCATTTTATGAGCTAGGGTTCGTGATTCTGTACTAAAAGACTATTTTTGGTTTTTAGCAATATAGTGTTGAAAATATTTATAATCAGTTAAAATCAACAATTTTTTTTAAAAAATGAGAGCTTTTTCAAACTTTTAGATACTTTTAGCTATGTTAATCCAGCACTTTTTTAACGATATTAAGTTTCTTTTTAAATATTATAAGTTTTAAATCTGTTTGGTTCTAACAACTGTTAAAAAGTAATCTGACATAAAAAGTTTAAGCCAGCAATATTTTGCGACTATTAAAAATATAATTTTATTACAAAACTGAACATTTATTATTATTTTATAAAAACTGTAATAATAAATATTCAGTTTTGTTTTCACTTGTTTTAATAAAAGTAATTCTGTGCTATCCAATAACTGTTTTATATTTTTTTTTGTATAATGACTTGAATATTATTATTATAAAAGGTAAAGAACTAATTCTTAGTGCAAAAATTATAAAATGAAAAACATGTGTTTCAATAAATTAAATATGAATTTAAAATTTATTATTAATTTCCTCTCTAAGAGTGCTTGTTTTGTCCTTCTATGCCTGTTTTTATCTTTCTTATTCACTACATTTGATAAGAATTTTAAAAACAATGTTCTTCAATACACAATGTCTATAAACAAATGAATTTCATTTGTGGGGCTATTACTCACTGCCAAAAAGAAGTTGATGAAAAATATTGTTTCAAGATCGGTGAAGAAAGCTTATTGTAAGAAAATAAATTTTATTTTTGGCAGCAAGTTGTCTGTTGCAGGCATGAGATTCTTCTGACTTTTAGGGGAATTTCTGACCAGGGTTCCCATGATTCAGGGAGAGCAGGGAAAACCTGGAATAGTCAAGGAATTTTTAACTCCAAAAATCAGATAATAGTTGAGGAAAATAGCATTTTTTTTACAAAAGCCTGAATATTTTTATTTCACACATCGAAATAATCATTCTTAAAATTATCTGTAGCAGTAATCAGTCATTGATATTCGAGTTAAATACTGCTAACATCTATTGCAATTATTTGTTGTAAAAATTTTGCATTATAGTAAAAATGAAATATTCCCTTCACTTAAAAAAAATTTTTTTTTACACAGAAAATCTAATATTTTACAATGCTAATAATAGAATCTATGTTTTCTGATAAAAATATGGTCTTAATTTTTATTGAAATTTACCTAGTTGTACCTGGAAAAGTAAGGGAATTTTTTTTCTTCTGAAATTGAGTGGGTACCCTGTCTGACTTAACTTAAGACAAAATTAGATTTATAAACTTTATTATTGGCTTATTTTCTTTAGTCATGATTTATATATAAAGCTGAACTACTTGGTGGACTGTCAATGCACTCAGAGAGTAAAAAAGAAAAAAAGAAGTTTAGTCTGTAAATGATTTAAATGCTTTTAATTTTTGCACAATAGTTTCACACTTTTTTTATTTATGTTTTCATGATTTGAGTTGATTGGTATTTTTGGACTTTTCCCACTCCCATACCTTCTATAGGAAAGTAGAACTGTTGTTGTCGTAGGTCATTAAGACAAGGGGTGCGGTTTTTCTTGTTTTCCAGTGGCACCATCTATGGTCAAGAATTCAACTTCTGCCACACCAATATATCTCACCCGTTTATATGGTGAACTCATTCACACATCCATCCATTCATTCATCCACAGATCATAATTTTGACCAAAACCAGAGAATTATCAATCTCCAATTCAGTACCCCTAGAAGTATAAGTCGTTATGGGAACATGGAGGACTTTGTGATCCGATAGATTTAACATGCACCAGTCAACATCTACTACACAGAGAGTCTTCGGCCAGCTGGATTCTACCTCACGCTCGTGAGAACTTGAGTCCAGCGCCCTTCCAACCAGACTATCCTGGCCCGGAAAGTAGAACTAAGCTAATTAGTTGATTAAAAAAGATTATTGTTAATCACATTGTTTTCATGTGGTTAAAAAAAATATTGTTTATTGAAAAGTACTTGAACTTCTTCATGGCTTTGAAAATATGCTAAATTTCTTTTAATTTTTTCTAACTTTCAAAACAGGAGTTTAAGTCAGGTACCCTTTCTTGAGTTCTCATCACTTATTGAGGTAAATAAATGATTCGTTTGCTAAGAAAGGCCTTTGATTAAAACATAATTAAAGGTATACACAATTAGAATTTGCTGTACTTAGAAGATTAGTGAAATGAAAAAAAAACATTCATTGAATGAAAAAGTGACAGTATATTTTATTGTTGATGTCAGAATTATTTATTTTTTCTCTATAGTTTTCACCATCATCTGCGGCCAGCGGTTGTCAAGATGGCCTCATATGTCTTTGGGATCTCATGACAGGCACTTGTATGTACAGTTTAAAAGGTCATCATGGCTCTGTTACGACACTCCTTACCACTGATATCTATGTCATAAGCCAAGGCACTGACAATCAGATATGTATTTGGGAAAAGAGTCAAGGTCACTTAATTCATAGCATTGTACAGGTATTATAGTGTTATTATTTTTTTTTCATAAAAAATTATATTAAACTGAGAAAAATTTAAAAAAAACAACTTACATATTTAAAAATTGATAGGAAAATGGTTGTTTATTTTCTGACAAGTTCGATACATCTTTAATTGTAGTTGGTGTAGTTTAAAAATTTTCATGTAACTTAAAGTAGCGACTCCTTTGTTACATAAAATAAATTCTGCCTGTTTACGAAAATAAAAAAAACATTCCTTTTTTGAGTTTTTAATATAGTGACCATGTGGGTTTTATGTGCCCTTGGACAAAATATATTGCAAGGCCCTTTCTCAAAGGACAAAAATTTCTTTTTTTCATTTTTTGTAATATTTTTGGAAAACTTTCTTCTGAAGAATTTCTCACAAACTATTCAACCTTGAATTAATTTATTGTGAGCCCCTTTTCTCAAAGCACAAAAAGTCTTAATTTTCATATTTTGTAATGTTTTTGGAAAGCTTTCTTCAAAACTTACACTTATACTTTTGAGGAAAAATATCTGACTTTTTCAAAATTCAATTTCTCAGGAACTATTTGACTGATTTTGCTAAAAATTTTGTATTTTGCCATGTGAAATTACATTCTTTAAAATGATTTAAAAAATTCTATACCTTATAATTCAAATTGTTTTGAACATTCTTAAGTAAAATAAAATTATAATAATAAATATTTACTAAAAGTCTTTTTTTTTTTTTTTGCATGGAATTATCTTTGGATAAACGAATTTTATAATCGCGTGTAAAATTGTTTTAATTTGCTTAAAAAGTTCTTGAGATGTAACAAAATACACAAAAAGTAAATTTAACATTAAAGGGTTCAAACTTTGGAGTGCTCTCCTGACATACTATTGGGACCATATTTCCCACTTTGAAATTTGTACTCTAAAGATGCTTGGATACCCAAAATAAATATGACTACGGAGAAACGAACACAATGTTTATTTCATATGGACAGCACAAGAAGGAATAAAATATAACAAATATGAGAAAGAAAATAATTGGCGATATTAATTCCAACTATTGATATTAATTTAAACATAAGTTTTAGGCATTATTTAACACACACAGAGATTACTGTTCTCCGGAAAAAATCCGGATTTCCGAATTTTTTGCTTACAGCAATCTGGAAATCTGAAGTTCAGAAGTTTCAAGAAATCATGGATCACATTTGTGTATAAAAATTCTTGTATTTCTTATTTAATAATATTAGAACTAGAATTTATACTTGACATCTCTTTCATTTGTAAATGTTTTTCCTGGTAAGATAATAAATGTGATTAGAGATAAAAGTAAATTTATACATAATTATTAATTTAAATTATGTTGCATGTAATTTATTTAGAATTTCATGTTTTAAAAATATTAGTGATTTAAATTTATACAGACATTAATTTTTTTAAATGCGTCATTAATGATTTTACTCAAGAAATATTCAGGATTTTCAAATTATGTTCACAATCACCCCTGTTTCCTTCTACCCTGTATATTTTGAGGGCAGAAAACCGAATTGCTCGATAAAATTGTATATTTATTCAGAGAAAGTTGGTTTAATTTTGCAACTTAAAATATCGTCTGTATTTATTAATTAACATATTTGAAGTCACCCCCTTGTGAAAATCCGATCATTAGCTCAAAAATTATTCAGGGTGGTCTGTTTTTTTCTCTTCTTTCATTTATTACAAGTTGAAATAAAATCCTCTCCAAAGTTTCATCTTTGCCATCGGAGTAAACTTAGGTGATTGATTAGGCCTTATATTCTCTCTGGAAAATCTGGAACTCTCAAGGAGATTCACTAACAACTCTGTAAATTTAATTATCTTCAATTTAATATCAAGTGTGTTTCAACCAATTATTGGGTGTTTAAACTGTTTTTTACAACTGACCTTGTTTTATAAAAACTTAAGAATGGTACTATTATTTATTTATCTCGTCATCACTGCTGTTCTAATAAATTATTCTAATAAAAATTTTGTTGCTTCTAATTTATTTTTTAACATTTAAATCTCTTAAAACATCGAGGTAATAGGCATTTAAAAAAATTCATTCATCTTTATCTTAGACTTAGAAGACGGATAAACAGCAACAGTAATTTTTTATTTAATGTTTGTGTATTTTATTTATTTATTGATATTATTTTGTTTAATATCATGAAAGGAATGAAATAATAGTAGTATTTCCAAAAAAATTTTTTTTACATTTATTACCAACTCATATAAAGATAAATATGCAACTAAAATCTGTTTTGCAGTTCTTGTCTAGAGAGTAGCCTTTCTGATGAAATAAACATTTTATTATAATATTAATTACAACTATAGATGGTGTTTTCAATATGAATGTTTACAACAATGCTCTACTCCCAGTTAGAAAGTATACAGCTGCTGCTTTTTTTGCAATAGTTTCAAACAGATGTTTTTAATAAGATTGATAAATTATATAATTTCTGTATTGCATAAGATATTAAGTGAATATTTGGTTTTAGTTATTTAGAGATGTATTGTTAAAAAAGGTTGCTAGATTTAGAAAGAACTCGCTTCTGATTTGGCCTTTTTTTCTCGTTTATTACTGTTTTTTTCTTGGTGCAAGTGCACCATCATACATTAGTGTCAGCATATTGTTGGAGCAGCAAGTTCATTTTTAAATTATCATTTAGGTTTAACTGTCAAAGTTGGTATATTGTTAACAAGGTCAGAAGTATTTTCTAAAATTTTTTTTTCAAATGACAATTTTTACATTTTGGAATGAATGACAGGTCTTCGAATGACGATTCTTATTTTAAACAGAAATAATAAATCAGGTTACAAGAAATACTACTCAAGTTTCTACTACTCAAAACACAATGATCACGTTGTGATGTCAAAACCAGTAACCCGGAAGTATAGGCAGTCAAGATTTTGCAGCGCTCCCTAGTGTGGAAAACACCATTTAGATAAACTTATTCAATTCCTACTACTATTTAATGGCACTCTCCCTGTATCTTGTTCAAATTTTCAATCATTAATAAAAATGCTTTTTATTCCACCACTCAAGTTCAAATTTTTTCAGTTCAAGTTTTTTAAACTTGAACTAGATGACACTTGATGTTAATACAGTTTTTAAAAAAATATTAGTTCATTCATTGAATAGGGATGAGTGGAAAACAAAATGAAATTTTCTGATGGGTTAAGTGTTAGTCATTGTTTTAAATCTTGCTTTAAGCGATTCAGTTTATTTACATATTTTAAAAGTAACATCAGTGATAATTTCTAACTTATAGCTCTATCTGAACAAAAAAATAGTTTATTGCGCGCATTTAAATATTTTATGTACGCTGTGGATAAATTCACTAAAGAAGATTACGTGGTAGCACGTGTAGTCCACGTCACCAAATTTATACTTTTAAAGTTGTCTGATAACACGCTCCTTTTTTTCTTCTTTCAATTCCTACTATTAGAGAACACTCTCCCTATGTTTTGTTGAAATTTTCAATAGTTAATAAAATACTTTTTTTCAAATACATATTTTTAAACTTGTAGTGGCTGACACTTGATGTTAATACAGTTTTTTCAAACGTTAATTCATTCATTAAATGTAATTTTAGTTTTATATGGGAGAAAAATGTAATTATTTAGTAAAAAGTAACTAAAACATAATTTTTGGTTGTTGACCTAAGTAAGAATTTAAATTTATGATTTTTTTAAATATTGTTTTATGATCTCCTCATATTTAATATCTTAAATTTCTAGGATTACAGTCTTCACAGTAATTTGATGCTCCTTACAAACAATATCATGGTCACAACAAAAGAGGTAGGTTTCACCAATATTTATTTTATTATTATTGTTGTTGTCTTGTCCAGTAGTGCAAGGAAAATTAAATTTGTCCAAAAGTATCTAAAACAGCTATTATTATTGTTATAATTTCTTTTTAAATGAATCTATCTATTTTATTAAGCTTTCACTACTTATTATTTTGTACAATTTTAAAGAATATTTATCATGGCATTCCAATTCTGTTTCCTTAGTAATTTATAAATCCTGATCATGTGGATCATAATGTATAATTTAATATCGTAAAAAATTGCAAAAAGCAAAAAGAAAATAACATTTAATCTTTTTTTTTTAAATTTCATTATTTTACACAATATTAATTATTTCCTGATTGTATTCTATTTAACTATCTTTTAAAAAAAATTCACAGTTTTAGTGCTGTTTATATGAACGTGAATTTACTGTTTTTCAAATCACAGCTATTATTTTGCAACAAGACATAATGTGCAAGTAATAAAACTGTAAATTTAACGGAATTTCTGTAAATTTTAATAATTTGTACTTTATCTTGCGAACTAAATTTGAATCTTTTTTTAATCATTATTTTTAGAAAGTTCTAACATATTAAGTTCAAAATTTAGGTTGGTGTAAATTGTTGAATAGTTTTTGCAACATAATCAAATCGGCAAGTTGAGTAATTAGATTTTCTTCCATTCTTCTTTTGTGCAATAATATTTAAGCATACCAGTTTAATTTTACTTTCAAAAACTAAGATATAAGAAAGCTTTAATCTACCCATAAAAATAAATTTTTGCCATTCTTATAAAGGGTTGCCACTCCACAGGGACAACAGGAAAAATCCTGGAAAATACAGGGAATTTAAAAATAACAGAGAAAATGTTGGGAATTTTAATTCTCTCTTATGAACTGGGGAAATACGGGGAATCTTGTTTCGTATTCCCGTCTTTTAAAAAATGGTGACCACTCAAAGCGTAATCTATAGGATATTTAACCATGATATTTCAGCTATACTAAACTATTTCATTTACTATAGCATTATTTAAGTATGTTCAGCTGTTTTTACAACTATTAAAACTAATAAATATAGTTAGTCCAATATAGCTTCCTCAAGAGCACAGTAATTGTTGTTTCCTCTTACTATATTGTGTATAATATGTACAGGGAAAACACAGGGAATTTTTTTTTCCAGATTTGAGTGGCAACCTTGTTATAATTGAATGTTATATAAGAGAGCTTATTTTTTTTTTTTATTTAACAAAATTATCCACAATTTTTTTAAATCTTTATTGCATTTAAATTTTATAAAATAACCAAGTAGTAATATTTCTAGTAATTTGAGATTTTGTGATCTTATGAATCCTATCTATTTCTTTATTTTTTCAGGATAATTTAGTCATATGGGATGTTAACCATGGTGAGGCCCTTCGCATGATAATGGTGGGCAGTGGTGACCATTCTGTTCACATTCGTCTTCTTAGACTTTCCGGACAATCTGTAATTTGCGATTATGGACCTCAGATTTTTATCATAAATTTTCCTGCCATATCTGATAAATCTGAATGAGTTTTACAGATCAATAGTGAGAAATGAAATAAAAAACAATGTGTTTAATTATTGCATTTTGACATTTTATTGTTGAGCCATAGACAATTTTTCTATTTTCATTTTTCTAAATACCAAAAATGTGTAAGTAATTAAAAACTTGATTTTCTTCTTGATCTTTAGAGAGGCAAAATGTTTGTATTTATATTTAATTGTTTTTAATATCCATTTTTTTATACATGTGTTAGTTATAATTGAATTGCTTGAATGCATTTTGTTTTTATTTAATAGACAAATTAAAAATTTTAAAAGAAAGTTTTAAAAAATGATGGAATACTTTGCAAAGTAAAGAATGTGAATCACTAAGTTGATGATAAATATTAAAATAGCTTAAAACTAATCAAAGTTTGGATTAAAATCTTTATTGTGGTTAAAAAAAATTTTTTGTTTTGCTAAATAAGGTAAATTTAATTATTTTTATTAATTTAACTACAAACAACTTTATTATTTAAGTTTATAATTTAACTGTATAATTAGATGATGAATTTAATTTTATTATTAGATTTTAGAATTAATAAAAGTTTTAAAAAAATTATAAATTTTGACAATATGAATTGTTTTTTCTGTCGGAAAAGTGCTGTAATGGCCCCTACAGGTGCAGCTACTAGTTCATCATAATTTATATCTATTTAAACCATTGAACTTTTGCAGTAGTATTTATAAAATTAATTTGAATGTCAAGTATCAATATATGTTTGTTGAGGGAGTGGCCATTTTGATTTCAGTGCAAATTGGATTAAATTTGCATATTTTTTTACCAATTTATTAAAAAATTAAAAGAAATACTTAGCATGTTTTAATTGTTACAATGTTTTCCCCCCCGCATTTCTTAAACATGCTAAATTGATTCGACGTGTCTTTTCTTAGAAACAATTATTTAAATTTGATTTAGCACAAATTGCTTTGCTTAAAACTAAATTTGGATGTTTCCGAAAATAAGTAAAATTTTAAATTATTTAGTTGTTTGAAAAATATATGTCAGTGATCTAACGACTCTGGAAAGAAAAAAAAAGATGTTGATCTCTTTAAATTACGTATTTTATTTTTTCTAACCTATGTATTGATAGATCATTATTTCCCCCGAAGGAGAATCATATCTATTTTTTTGCAACAAGACTTTTAGAAGCGTTCCAGAAAAATAAACAACTCTTACTAGGTAAATTGTTACTTTTTTTTTCAAACAACACATCTTTTTATTTTGCTAACTAAATTCTAAAATTGAAAAAAAAAGTAATTAATTAAATATCAAATGTCTACATAAATAACTATATAATGAAATAATGTTAATTTATGTTATTTATGGCAAGTAAAATTTCCATGACAATATGCTGGGATGTGGACACTTTCTGCTTTGGTCATTTTTATGAATTTGTTAAATTTCAGCTGGCATTTGTTATTACAGTTTAATTGAATAAGACTTCTCTTAGATAAGACTTCTAACTGACTTCTGATAAGACTTCTATTTATAAGACTTCTTAACTAACTATTAGATAGTAAAAAATTTGTAAAGTGGGTCGGCCATAGTAATTAGCATATCCTAATAGCATATCCTTGGTTTAGATTTATAAATCTGGACATAGCTTGAAATTCATGTTTTTAAAAATGTACGCAAGTGGACAGAGCTCTAACTGTGTGTTGAAAAAAATGGTCAAAGCTCAAACATGTTAATGAAAATGGACACAGTTTGAAATGCATGTTGAAGAAAATGGACTTAGAAATGGAATGGAAAATTACTTTTCTAACAAAACAAATATGCTTTGTTTTCAAAAAATTGTCTTTCATGTTGTCCTAATTTTTTAACTAAATGAATAGACAGCACATTTCACCATTGTTGCATTTAATATATATTTTTAAATCCTTTTAAAAAATGACATTTAAAACTACAAATTATAATTGAGGAGAAAAAGTAAACCCTATCAAAACCTAAATTTTTTAAGAAAAGTGAGAATAGAACTTGTTTGATTGGTACAAGAGGCAAAGTAGACTACAAATTTCATCAAGCTAACCAACTGGTTTGCTTTTTATGCAACCTTCATCACTAGTATTTCTGTGGATTCTGATGGTGTTTTTATTTTTCTGTCTTTTAAAGATTTATTTATGACTTCAGTATGTAATTTTTTCCCTTCCATTTTTTTAGCAAGGATTCTAAAAATATATATTAGATTCCATGTATAGATTTATAAAATAGATTAGTTTTTTCAAATAAATAAAAGATTTTAACAGTGTGTGATTTCTATTGCTGTTATTATAATGAATCAAATTATCAAAAACTATGCACACTACAAGTTTCTCTAATGTAAATTAGTTTATTGCCTCTTATTAAACAAGGTGCATAGCACTTTTAAAAAGCACTTAAAGGTGCTTATTTTTGATTTACATATTTTAAGAGCCCTTAAAGGGTTTTTTTATTTTTATTCGAGATTTGTAAACAGTGTTTAATTTTTTATCTTTAAAAATGAGATTTTTTCCTTGGTGTGTCGATTGTCATCATAAATTACAAAAACAGCATGATTTCCACGATTCTCTCTGCAATATTTATCCAAAACTAGTTATTTTATCATGATTATGTAAAGTTTTTTAAAAATGTTTTGTTGATTTTATGTTAATACATTAAGAACTTTAAACGATTTAAACAAATTTTTATTACTGCACATATCTTAATTAAGAATTTTTTTTTGGAAAGTAATTAAAAATATTTTTTGAGTGCTTATTTTTTGTTAACAAATCTGGCAACGCACCCTGTTAAAACAAAAATAAATATATAAGTTTAATTCTTTTTAATTAGAATCAGGTTTAATGGTAAAAAAAGATGTATATTTAACAATAAATACTATTCTTTTTATCCCATCATATTCATTCATTTTTGTTATCTTTCATATCATATGAATTAAGTAAATCTCTCCTTGCCTTATGTAGTTGGAAACTATAATTAGAACTATTCTATGTTATTCTACTTTATTTAAATACTACTGTGTAAGTAACTAGTGAAAATGGTATTGCTTAATCAATCTCTTTTTATGCCTATTGCACAAATAATAGCATAGAATCAATTTTCCATTAAATCATTTGGTGCATGTAGGACCATTAATTCCTTGTCCTTTTTGTGTCAAGTGTTTTAATTAAAATCGGAATAAGCCTTCAATGTAATTTCCAAAGCACTAAACTTTATTGTAATTTCTAAAATGTGTTATTTATATATTATCTTAATTCACTGTACATTTTGTGACTAAATGTTTTGTTATACTTATTGAAAATTAAAGAAATATTTTTGTGACTTGCTTTCTTAATGTTTATAATGATGTGTCATTTAGTTTTTGAATATTGCATTATGTTGTAGGTATTTTTTAAACACATTTTATACAAATTTTTTTTTTTTAAAAAAAAGAGCTATTTAGTTTCAATTTAGACTTAATGAAATTATACTTAATTTTTTAATTAACTAAATTTGTTTAAAAATTGATCTATTGTAGAACACTGATGAATCATAAAAGTCCATTAAAAACAGTTTTACTATTATTCTTTCCAAAGCCTCAATTCAAGTCTTAAAAACTCATTTTATATAATTGTTACTGTATACATTTGCATCTATTCATCGTTGTATAACAAACTCATCTAGGAATCTTTGATTTCAAATCTACACCTGAAAGAAGTTTGCTTATTTAAAAGAAGTGGTCAAATAAAGCTAATCTTTTGTGTCCAAAAATTAAGTAAATAAAAATAAATAAATAAAACTGAATTAAACTTATGAAAAAATTTATCTTAGTCAAAACTCTTTCTTCATGTCATCTATCATCTTCAAAAATCTATCGCAGTCAGAAAAATCTTTTGGAATTATCTATCACTGTAAAATATCTTATTTATATTCAAATATGCCTCTTGGTATAATCTATCATAATAGTTCCTTTCAAAAAAGTTTCTTAGATGGATAAAAAATGTCAGTTTAAAATTTCATGATTTTGCCTGAATTTTTTTAATTAAATAAAACGTATCAAGACACTTTTTGAATAAAAAAAATAATAAATTCTGGTGTAATTCATGATTTGTGCAAATATTGAAAGTAGTTTGTCACATTTTTTGGATATTAAAAAGATACTATTAGTAAGTAGGCATATATATACTTAACAAAAGAAATAAAATTTGTAAAATGCTTAAAGCTTTTTAAACTACAAATGAAATAAAAATTTTGATGCTTTTATTTGAAACAATGAAGCATAACAAAACTACAATAAAATATTGCATTGCACATAGATAATAAAATTTTAAAGTCAACTTAACCTTGCAACATTAGCATTGCCTCCTTATCTACGTCATGCAAATTACAAATTGTGCTAAAACAATCACAGTAAAGCAGCAAAAGAAAAAAATACTACTTATTTCTTTTTATTTATTAGTTAAGAATTTTCGAAATTATATCCATGGTATATCAAAGCATTTACAGGTTATTTTATAATCACTACTCTTAATATATATTTTTTGGTTCCTTGTCAGAAACAGAGTATGCACTTTAAGGATTACAAATTAATATTTAAGCAAGGGAAAAAATGAAATTAACTATCATGAATCATTGTTGAAGAAAACGAGGCTTGTATTGTCAAAACCTGTTTGTTGGAGGAAACAGGAATTGATTAGAAACAGCTTTTAGTTTCATGCTGCAATTAGACAGGTTTTGATGTTTTTCATATTTTTCTTTTCAAATGATTTGACAATTTTTGATATCTTCTTTGTCTTTCCCGCCTTTAAATTTTTATTTGTAATTCCCAAAATATATTTTTTCCTTCATTTCAGACAAAGATTTTGAAAATATACATTAAGGTATTTGTGTAGTAGGTTTTTAATTGGCTAATGACTATTTTTACATAAGTTAAATTGTTCTATTTTTTTAATTACATATTAAAAATATAACTTATACAGAGCTAAAACTGTTACAATAAATTACCAATTTGATCATTGTCTAGTTGCTCTTTATTATAGATGTCTAAGAATCAGAACAACTTAAAAATACTCTGGCAATAAGTTTTTTTTTTTTTTTTTTGAATAAATTCAAAATTGTAAATCAATAAAGCAAACAGTAAAAAAAAATTTATCTGAAAATTTTTTTATATGTTGCAAGCATTTATTTCAAAATAAAACTTTTCCATTTCGGATTTAATTTTCTTTGCTTAAACGAATCCTAATGAATAACAATTTTAAGTTTAAAAATTTTTTTTTTCTTGACTCTTCTAAAACAAGCTAAAAATGTTTATAACTTTGTACATTCTTGAAATTACTTCACAAGCTTTGTAAGTTAAAATGTTGCTTGCACTTTTGACCCTTAAGTTTATAGGCACAGATTCTTGTTTTTTAAGGCACATTTTGAAAAATTCTTTTTAAGTCCTTCCTGACTAGAATATGAAGTTCCTTTGAAAAAAAATTTAATCCCTAGAATGAGCTTTACAGTATGGTTTGCCACCTTTGGCATAGAAACTTTGTCCTTCTAATCCTCTTAGGCATTTCTGAAAGGAAAAAAAAAATCATTATTTTTTTTTATAAATTTTTCCTACAATATAAGTGTTAATTTTTAAATTAACAATTAAAATGTTAATTTCCAATTGACATTGTCACATTGGGATCTGCACGTGATTTGTTAATATATTCGAATTGGTATCCTACTTTTAAGAGTACAATTAAATTGTATTTCAAAACTTACTAACGAGTAGTTTGTTTAGTTCGATTATAGTCTACGAGAAATTTTATGTCAAAGCTCATGAACGTATCCGAATAAGGATAGGGTATACTTTGTGCTACGTATGAATGAAACACAAATGAAGGTACTGAAATGTAGTTTCGGAACAAGAAACTTTCTCAACACATATTAATATTAACCGCTTCCCTGATTATCCCGAGTTAACTCGGGTATGTATATATTGCAAATATTTATTATCCCGAGTAAACTCGGGCATAGCAGAATTCGTCAACATGTTTTGTTTTAACTCTGCCGTAAGCAAAACAAAAAATAATCTACAGTGATTGGAAGTTTGCCCATTTTTGTGTGGGAATATTTGCGGGACATGCAGACGTGTTTTGTGCAATTGTATTATATGCGATGGTTGTTGAATTTACATAGTACGTTCCCGAGCGAAAGAAATGCAGATGATTTTTCAGATTGTGAACCTATACGAAGACCAATATTTCATTTTTTCATTTGCCCGAGATAATTTGGGATAGTAAACTGATGGTAAATTAAATATTTTTTACGCATAAAAAAGAAATAAAATTTCAACTTAGAACTTGTGTATTATGTTTTGTTTTAGTTCCCTGTATTTATTAATGAAAGCAAAAATTGATTTTTTTTTTCCTCCAAAAATATTGGTGAGGGAAGCGGGTCTGAATTCGCATATTTTTGTGTTAAGGCCCTATTTTATGTGTTAAAAACACTAAAACATTTTGTTTATAGAACATAACTGACGAAGGTTCCTGTTTATAGAAACTGTCTGTACTTTTATACATGCTTTATTCACGTTGTTTTGTTTTATTCTCACGAACTTAGTTTGTTAAGTTCGTCAAACTTTTCAGCTTACGAGAAATGGTATGCTCATTAAAGTAGTTTGTTTAGTTCATAATTACTTCGCAGTGGACTGATCGTTAAGACACGGTTCCCAGCAGATCACCGATGTCAAGCATCACTGGCTGCGGTCAGTGTGCGGGTGGGTGACCACTTGGATCAGCCTGCGTAGGGTTCGAGGGCGTGTGGTATTAGTCCTCGTTAAACTGTTCTACCGTAAAGTGCTCGACTTTGCGTGCAGGTCGTCGGGCTACCGAAGCGGGGGTGCAATCCCCTTCGCAGAGGATCAAAATTGTGATGGCATGTCATCCTCAGGGATGTTTCCCAGACCGTCGCCAATAGCCTATTGTGCAGTTCTAGTGCGACGTAAATGAACAACAACATAATTACTTTTCAGGCTACGGGAAATTTGGTGTCAAAGCTCTTCAGGATTCGAATCCTCGTTGTAAAGTTATTTAGAAGAGTTCGTCTGTGTTAACCTTCATCTATGAAAAGGTACCCCAACATAGAATCGCGAGTTAACATTGCTAGTGAATTATATTTTTGTAGTGGAAGTCGTTACTTACTGTGCATTTAAAGCACTGTGAGTGATAGTTGCTGTTTAGAGCCTCAACCCAGCGATCTCCTGCTTCGATTGGGAAACCACAACCCACACACTTCGTAGTAAATAGTTCATTCCAATCTAAAAATAGAAGAAGAAGAAAATATTAAAAGAATGACAAGTATTTAATGATAAGTTGACACGTATTTAAATAACAAATATTTTTTGAATTCGAGTACGGATAAAATATAATTTGCGTTGTCTCAGAAAAAAAAAACAACTGAAGAATAATAAAATGAATAAATCAATGTAATAAAAAGTAATGCATAAATAGATGCTTTATATAGTTAACTTTACTTTTTAACCATTGTCTTATAAACTTAACTAATAATAGTTTAGGGAAGGTGGTGTTGGCACCTCCCTTGCCCGTTCCGAAAGTTTCGTGTTTTTGATTGGTGACGACACTATATGTATGTAACCGTGATGAATGACCGAAATCAAGATAATGTTGACCTTCACAACTTAATGTCAACAAGTCGCCTTGATCTATGTCCGAAATATTTGTTATATCCGATTTGATATTAATTTATTCTTTGATTTTATATTTATTTATTCGATATTTTAATATCTGTTGAGGACAGATTAGGAGAAACATCAGTACCGTTTAAATGCATACTGGGCACTTGACCTTTAAAAACATTGATGTAGGGCATACCGGGCACTTAATATATATCGGGCATTTACCTAATCGACTATGTGGTTTTCGAGATTCACAGTCAGCAATCACCCATTTCGTTCATTCATTCGGTTAACAGGCATTATTACAAAAGATTCGACACAATCCACGAAGGGCAGTCAAAAATACTGAAGTAAACACAAAAGAAAAGTTGAAAAAAAAAAAAACAACAATTGGTTTTACTCTCATGATAAATATTAATGAATATTTTCCTGTTTTAGTTACCTCTTTGTAATCTTTGAATGTAAATCTACGGTCGCAGTTGCCACTGTGCTCTTAGACTAAAATGAGAAATTTCTCAAATTATTCAAAAATTTTCCATATCAGACTAAAATCTGGAATTTCCCGAATCATAAAAAATTAAGTCGAATTCTTAATTTTTTACAGGTGAACGAGAAATCTTTCAAATGAATTTCGCAAATTGCGAATTAAGAATATTTTTCCAGGTAAAAGAAATCATTCTGACGATTTTCTTAAAAATATTTTTTTTAATACTTTTTTTAATATATTAGTCGAAGCAAAAGCAGAAACTCTATTGAAATACTTTGATTCACCAGTGAGGGAGGCAGGGTGAAAACATGAAAACCAGTTTGACTGCCTGGTGAAGGAGTTTCTAGTAATTTCCTTTGCAATTCCTCTCTGTTTCCTCCGAAAATCAAGTGAAAATCAAATCAAGTCCGATATTTTCAGTAGTACCACTTTCCTCTGAAGTGATTCGTCCGATTTCGGTGGCGTTTTATTTCCTCGCTTAAATATTAACTTGCAACTCCTAATCTGTTCCTGATTTGATTTTACAAAAATTCTAAAAATATATATTAAGGGTGGTATTTTAAGTAATACCTTTTTCACAGTAAGGTAATCCATCCTCCATGTAGAAAGAGCTATTCCCAAAAGGTTTTGAACAGAAACAGCACACAAAACAATTTGGATGCCATTGTTTGTCGAGAGCATTTAGACAATCCTGAAACAAAAATTAAACTGTTTAAGAATTACAGCGAAAGAACTTCAGAATGTGAAAGGCGATAAAAAAAAAGTTATCTATCTAAAAAAGTTTGGAGCATTTTTTCAGCTTATTATTAAAAATGAATGTTTAAAATAATTTCGATCAATCTTTGATGATATTAACCCAGTGTCACCCGAATCCAGTTCGGGCAACTACTGCGTGCAGTATTTGTGATGCCCGAGCTGGAAAAAATAACGTTTCTATTTTATGAAGCCCTAGCAGAGTTCGTTTCTACTTTAGGATATTTAATTCACTTTTTTCTTAATAGATGGCATTAGTGGTCCTAGTTTTCACCGATTACGACTTCAGTCGAGAAAGGATAATGTTGGTAGGGTTTTTGGGATATACCATACTGTAAAAGATTTGTAAAATAAATGTATTGAGAATCCTATTGTTGTGTTTTTATATTATATTACACTAGTAATATTATATTTAGCTTCAAAATTGTGTTTAATTTGCTTTAATTGAATAAGATGTGTGTGTGTGATCAATAACATTTTTATGTGTATCCAAAAATTATAAATACAGTAGTTATTGCATTTAAAACTTTAATAAAAAACCATTTTCCAACTTGTATAATAATATAAAGAGCAAAATTAGACAGTCAAAAAAAATTTCCATTTTTGGTTCATTTTTTTCTGAAATATAGGGGTGATTCTCATGAAATATGACAATTTACAATCTCTTGCTTCAAGATCTAATACTATACTTCTAAAAGAACTTTTTTCTAAAAAAGTTTAATAAATAGCATTGTTATTACTATTTTAAAATGACCTTGTACTAGCACACACTGTTTTGCATATTTTAAAAATTTAATTGAATTCCAAAATGTCATTTTCCTGGTATGTCACAAACAATATTTCCAATAATAACTAGCTTCAAAACGTCCCATAAATTTTTCAATATCTATTTTTTTTAATATCAATCGTTGTAAGCATTTCTAGAATATATGCAGAGGGTATTATTTACAGAAACTTTGTTGAAAATAATTTTTTCTGTCAATAATTTGTTTGTCACAAAAATGTGTCACTTTCCTGGCTACTTTTATTTTGCGATTTATAACCAAAATAGATAGCGCCAGGAATCAATATCTTATGTTAATAGATTGATTAGAATACCATTCTATCTGAACATGTCTTATTGCATGAATAAAGAACCAACTTTTTGGTTCAAAACCTATTTAAAAAATTTTTTCAAGGTGAGTAGGTTTTTATGCTGTCATTTCCCTGACTTCTTGAAATCATTAATAACATAAACTACATTGATTTACTTGAGTTATTTCAAGAAATCCTGCTGTTTTCTGCGGAATGTAAACATCTTAGGCCGAAGTGTTAAATTAAAGTAAAGTTAAATGCTATATAATGGCAAATTGTCATTATCCTGGCTATCATTTTCCCAGCTTATGAATGCCAGGACATTGACACAGTTACCAGAAAATGTTTTTAACAGTTGAATGTAAAGAGCGAAAGCAAATATTAACCTAATACCAAGTTTATGTAAGATTGTAATACTATAATTAAAGTTATTTTTTTTTATTTTATGATTGATTATTATACACAATTTTATTCTGTACATATCAGCAACAAAAACATTTTTGATTCTTTCTACAGTGGATAAAAGAATTAATTTAATCAATTCATAGTCCATCTATCACAAAGGCTTAAGTTGAGTTACTTACTATTAGCTTAAAATGACTGTTTTTTTTTTAACTTCTAGGCTAATATTGTCATTTTCAAAATTTGGTGAATTTCTATTTTTTTTTTTTTTTCTCGAGCAAGTGTCAATAAACTACACTGCTGTCTGTAAGATATTAATAAATGTAACTAAATAAACTAAACTCAGCGGCGCGACAGCCCAAGAGGGCCAAGGCCTACTGTGCCCATCTCAGTTTTCTTGACCTTGGGCTCTGGGGTGCAGGAGCAGATGTTCCAGTCAGGTGGTCAGCCGAACGCGGAACCCCCAGTGTTTAGTTCCCAAGCATGCTTGGTACTCATTTATCGACCCACTAAAGGGATGAAAGGCTGAGTCAACCTTGCCCGGCCCGAGGATCGAACCAGGGACCTGTGGCATGACAGCGCGAAGCGCTACCGCTCAGCCACCGGGCGTCAAATGTAACTAAATAAATATACTAAAAAAATTTAGATTATTTTGTAGACTTTAAATTTGAAGACATTTTTTGTTCCGAATTGTCATGTTTGCAAGGAATCACCCATATGTCTGTTAAGAGTTTAATTTGATTCTATGAAATTGCCTATTTATGTTATTTTTTTGCAAGTATTTTTTGAATGTTATGACATTATTATTTTTTAAAAAAAATTATAGTTTTTTTAATCGCTCATTATTAATGTAAAATGTTTACCCCCTTGATTCTTAAGGAACATTTTGAACAAATAGGAGCTAAGTGAACTTCATAGCAGTTTTCACAGTAAAGCTGACCACGATCTTCTACAAATCCAATGTTGACTAATGAATTTTGGCATCTGTTGTTGGCACAAACAAAGTGATCAGGACACCATGATTTACCAAGGGCTACCACAAATGGACCTCTGAAAAAATAAATACAAGAGTGAAATTTACTTCTCCGAACAGTAATGACAAAAGTAAATTTAATTTAAATGTTGTTAGTTTTCGGTACGTTGTTTACAAAACGGTAAATTCTCTATCAGAATATAGAATTTTATAAGGTATTTCAAAAAATTTTCCGTATGCTAATCAGGAGTGTATGAAATACTATGTTATCTACTTTTTAGTGTTAATATACTTTGTTACTAATTCAGATTGCACTGTTACTAGTTTTACTTACTAATACAGATATACTAATTTTACTTACTAGTACAATCTGTTATCTATTGTTATCTATTTTTAGAACGCTTCAGTCTTAGTTCGTTTATTTGTTTCCTTTATCTGAGTAGTTGCGTTATATTTTTATTATATTTACCATGTAACGCAACACCTATAATTAAATACATTTACAGGTATAGGACAAGGAATACCTGTGAAAGAATGGAGTCGTTCTCGACCGTCCAATAAGCGGCGGGCACAGGGCCGTCTTAATGGCAAGCAGGGCCCCCGGGCAACAAAATGTTTTGGGTCCCTATTACATTTCATACTGTTTAAAATAGAACTAAAAAACTTCACATGCATAAAATTAAGCATTTTTAAGATATGCAATAATTTTAACAAAGTTAAACACATTTTTATAGCCCCAATAACTCAATGCACATAAAATAAAGCATTTTTAAACTAGGCATAATTTTTCTTAAAAAAATGAGATGCTAACAAATTGCAATCCTCAAATAGTAAGTAATTTTCAAAACGAAGAAGCTAATTAAAATAAGTTAATTAAAAAGCATAGGGGTATAATTTTTTTTTTTGTATTTTATATTGTAACCGTCGCTGAACAGCCGACCCAATTTTTGGGTTTACGTCTACCAATGTTCAATTCCGCAGCCTTGTAAGTTTGAACCAATCCAGAAGACAAGGAAACTCCTGGATCAGTACCCCCAGAGGTATGACTTGTTATGGGAACATGGAGGACTTTGTGACTCGACAGACTTAACGTGCATCAGTCACCATTTACTACACGGGGAGTTTTCGGCCGGCGGAGATCGAACACACGAACATGGGCCCAGTGCCCTACCAATCAAGCTATCCCGACCAAGGGTTAAACAATTTTTTCATTTTTTATTATAACCGTCATTGGGGGCCGGGATAGCCTGGTCGGTAGGGCGCTGGGCCCATATCCAAGAGGTCGTGGGTTCGATCCTCGCCGGCCGAAGACTCCCCGTGTAGTAAATGGTGACTGATGCACGTTAAATCT